GTAGACGGTGCAGTGACCAGAGAAGGTTTTGGGAAACAGAAGGCATTTGAGAGGGGTCTTAAAATAAGGAAAAGAATTATAAATTCGGATGGGAACAGAAATATCTTAGTTATTTGAATATGGGGTTTGGAAGGAAAGCGGAAAACGGTAAGTTTGGTAGGGAAGGGGGGGGGGGGAGAATGTGAAGCCAGACTGGGAAGGTGTTACATCCCAGGCAGAAGGATCTGGACTGCTTTTGTAACTAAAGAGGAGGGATGGAAAGTGCTAGTGATCTCATTCATATATGAATGGGGGCAAGAGAGACCAGATGATAAGGCAGATTGGACAGAATTAAAAATTAAAGAATTAAGCCAGCCTCTATTTCCAGCTTCCTTGCTCCTAACTTTTTTTCTTCTTTCAATTTTCGCTTTCAAGTTTTAAGTGGATGACCATGTTACCTGAGCAATGACCCAAATAAATGACTTGACATAAGCACACTGTCTGTTAAGACAGTTTTTCAATGCTAGACAGCAAATCAATCAGTCATCTTTCAGGATATTTATAATTGTGATTGTGCTAAAAAAAAAAAAAATTCAAGAAGAAGGAAGCAGAAAACTTCTCTGACGTGCCTTCCAAGGTGTTTACTATCCCCCATCCCTGGCCAAAGTGTGCTAGAAGGTAAGAAGCGTAAACCTCTCCTTTCTCGCCTCCTTTTCAAGGTTCCCCTTTTTCAGCCCCTATCCCTCCCTGATAGACCCTCCCAGGTTTCCTGCTCTACCAGATTGCTGTCTGGAACTTTCAGGTTCAATCTACTGATGCTTTCAAAAAGCAGTGTCACCTTAACAGGAGGGACCAGGGTCACAGTGTCTGCCCGCCTCACCGGGAGCCTGGACAAGGACATAGCCATCCTCTGGATGTCTGGGGCATGGAGCTCTAGAACTCCTCTCGCTGGAGGAGAAAGAATGATATATCTAGGAATTCTGTCACAGTTCCTGCTCTTGCCGATTTGACTTCCCATTCTTTGGGCTTGAGGAGTCAAACAATCAGGCCACGAGCGGAGTTTCTTCTGTAACCTTTCAGGATCAGACCAGCTCACAGAGCAGGCTGAGTGGAGCCACTTAAGGAAAGGTACTCACAGACCAAAAACAAGAACACTACCTGAAATCCACTAATGAGGGATTCGTTTGAGTTAAAAACAAACATGAGCCGAAACCGGTTTGGCTCAATGGATAGAGCGTCGGCTTGGGGACTGAAGGGACTCCGATTCGATTCCGGTCAAGGGCTTGTACCTTGGTTGCGGGCACATCCTCAGTAGGGGGTGTGCAAGAGGCAGCTGATCGATGACTCTCTCTCATCAATATTTCTAACTCTCTATCCCTCTCTCTTCCTCTCTGTACAAAATCAATAAAATATATTTAAAAACAAACAAAACAAAAACAAAACAAAAAAATCATGATCTTAAAAGGTTTAAGTCAGAGGGAACCTGGCTATCAGGCTCCGTACTAGGAAAAGAATCTTGATTAACCTAATCCACACATAGGGAACGGGGTCTGGTGCAGGAGGATGCGGGAGGAGGGGGTGAGGGTTGGGGAGGGAGGATAGGGGAAGGATGAAGGATAGAAAACCTGTGAGGTCATTTTGGAACATGTTATATTTCCAAGGAGAAATCCAGGGAGGACTGGAGAGAACAGCAGAATGAGGGCCCTGGGATACGGAGAGGTAGCCAAGCTAAGAAGCAGAAAAAGCAGAAAGAGCCATAGCTCAGAGAGTTTGGCAAACGAGTTCCAAATGCTGACTTGACTCTGAGCTGCTGCCAAGGTCCTCGTTTACTCCCAAAGGTTCAGCCCAACTCTCACTTTCTGTGGGAGCATCCAAAGTGAGGTGGGGTGTGTGGAACCCTGGGAGGGAAAGTGTGGCTAAACAAGGCCAGGAGGGAGAGGTGTAGGGCTGAGGCACCGGAAGACAAGGTTTCAAAAACGGAGCCAGAAGAGTTGGAACCCATAATGGGATCGAGCTCCTTCACACATTACAGGTGTTTGGGGACTTTCACGTTTCCCAGCCTACATTTTATTCAAATTGTTTATGCTGGAAACTCTGAGTGTGCTTGGGTCAAAGGAATATGTGACCGGCAGCCACCATTCAGAATTCACTGAGCTCCAATAAACTGCTTCACTTGAGCTCAGAAAGTGAAAACTGCAATAAGGCAAAAATTGGTAGAAAACACAAACAAAGGAAAGTTAGTTTCTCCATAAACATTTCCAAAACAGATAACTACACTAATTATTTTCAGAAGTCCCTCGAGCCAAAGGTAACCCGTGTTTGGTATGAGAACACTCAACAGTCATGGTGTTGCCTCCGTACACCTCCATCCGCAACCACCACTGCTCATTCCCTCTCAAGAGATGCCCAGTCTGGTGAGACTTGCCCAACAAGGGATATCCTCCTCCCACAGAGCCAGCGATGAGCCATCCACGGTATACAAGGCCCATCAGCTCATCTCTAGTCTCCTCCCCTCAATCCAACTGCTTCTTAATCTACTAGGGAATAACTCTCTCAATGTGTATGTACCTCTACCTTTCTGCCTTTTTATCCTAATAAAGAGGTGATATGCAAATTGACTGTCCCTCCAACACACAAGATGGATGCCCTCATGTGGACACAAGATGGCCACCACAAGGTGACCTGCAGGGGAGGGCAGTTGGGGGAAACCAGGCCTGGAGGAGAGGGCAGTTAGGGGTTACCAGGCCTGCAGGGGAAAGCAGTTGCAGGGGGACCAGGCCTGTAGGGGAGGACAGTTGGGGGGACCCAGGCCTTCAGGGGAGGACAGTTGGGGGTGACTGGGCTGGCAGGGGAGAGCAGTTGGGAGGGACAAGGCCTGCAAGGGAGGGCAGTTGGGGGCAACCAGGCCTGCAGGGAGGACAGTTAAAGATGACCAGGCTGGCAGAAGAGGGCAGTTAGGGGCAATTGGTCCAACAGGGGAGCCGTTAGGCGTCGATCAGACTGGCAGGGGAGCGGTTAGGGGGTGATCTGGCTGGCAAGCAGAAGCAGCTAGGGGCAATCAGGCACGCAGGCAGGCAGGCAGGCGAGTAATTGTGATCCAGCAACTTGGATTGTAAGAGGGATGTCCGATAGGATCAGGCCTAAACGGGCAGTCAGATATCCCTTGAGGGGTCCCAGATTGGAGAGGATGCAGGCTGAGCTGAGGGACACACACCCCGAGCATGAATTTCATGCTCTGGGCCTCTAGTGTATATATAAATAAATATATTTCTAATCGTCTCCTAGAGTGTATAACCAGTCAATCCCATCTCAGCCCTTTCTAGCTCACCCCATTCCCCTTCCACCGATGTGAAGTGGCGGAGTTCTCGGGAGGTTGGCCATTACCTGTCAGACATCTGACCCTGACCAATTGGGTTCAGCCTTCCTCATCTCACACTATTCCAAAGAGACTGAGAAAAGTTAATTCAGCTTTCTTGCTTTTCACTCAGATGAAACCCTGCATGCTTCCATGGTAGTCAGTCCCCATGTCTCCCTCATAACACCCGGCCTCTCCACACTGTTTAAATTCAAACCAAAGTTAAAGGTTCCCTACTCCTTTTCCCTACATACTGTTTCTTTATTCCTCTCCCCGCCTCGTATGCTACTAATACTGATAAGTATTATAAAAAAAAATTTTAATGGCCCCAGAATTTGAAAATTACAGTGGCACTTCACATGTATTAAAATTCTGGCTTATCCTTCTGCATCAATCATTCTATTATGCTCAGCATCTCCCTTCTTTACTTACCCCCTCTACTGCTTTACATACTGCAGTCTCCCTCTTAGAGGGGGCCAAGTCCCAGCATCATTCTTGTGCAACCAACTATAAACCCTGTCCTAGATGTCACCCCTCTTTCCAGCAGATGTCACCATGTAGATAAGCTCCATCCTCACGCTTCTGAATCCAAAAGCACTATGGTAGACTAACAGCACCATCCAGTTACACAAGTCCCTCCCCTCGCCAAATGTTTTCACATTCCTTCTCCTCTCATCGAAGCCTCTTGACATCCCCTTATTCTTCCCATTGTACAGACCAGGAAACCAAGATTCAGCGAGGATTAGGTGGTTTCATTCACAGCCAAGGAGATAGTTAAATGCTAGAGACAAGACTCTAACTTTTATGTCCAACCCCAACGTTCCCCCCAGGCACATTTCTCAGGGTGCATCTAGTTGCCAAGCGAGCCCCCGTCTTCTGGCCTGTCTTACAGGGGATGCTGCAGGCCAGCCCCAACAAAGAGCCATGCCTTGGACCACCTCGCCATTTGTACTCTGCTCCCCTCTCCTAGCACCAAGTCTCCACACACAAACTCAGCGCTCCCGACTCCCCACAGATCCTTATTCTCCCATGCTCACTGAGTTCTTTTCTTCCGCTCAGAACAAAGGTTTGCCCCTTCTCCACTCACACCCACTCTGCCAGGAGAAAGGAAGCAGTCTTCCTCTCTCAAGTAACCACACACTGTCCTAGGGTACATCTGTTGAACGGTTTGGGGTCCACGTTCCCGGTCCTTCCCCTCCCCGGCCCGGTTCCAAGCTCTCCGCTGTGGAGTGCACGCTCCTGGCCCAGAGGCTCCATCTAGCCAGCTGTGGGCACTCAGCACAATGCCTCGCATTCAAAGGCACAAAAACACGGACAACTATGATCTTAAAAAAAAAAAAAAAATTACTCCTGTCCTTGATCTGAAATAATAATACCAATATGTCCCTGCCAAAACCATTAAGAGCATTATTTTACTTCAATTAAAAGAGATTCTGAATAGGAATTAGCTTAAAAGAGCCGTAAAGTGAAAGACAAGGGCACATTTGTTTACGTGCGGTCCCCAAGGTATACAACGGGATACTGAGTAATTTGTTATCAGCGTCCCATCCGCGGCAGCCCAGCTCCCCGGCACAGCAAGGTCACCCCGGGTGAGAGGGTGCCCGTCACCGGCACTCCCGTGGCCAGGAGGGGCTGTCAGCTAGTCCAGCGGCCGCACGCTACGTACCGGCTTGTCCTTGATGGTGGGGCTGGACACGCACAGGTACAGCTTCCCGTCTTCCTCCAGGCAGGCCTCTATCAGAGCTTGCACGGAGCTCTCCTCCTGGAACAGCAGGAAGGCATAGCCTTGGGGAGAACAGAAACAAAGGGCGTGGGGAGGAATCAGTACACTGAACTCAGAACACCAGTCACAACGTTATCTATTTGCTTTACTTTGGCCAACTCTTACTAGCATCTACGAACGTGAAGGGGACCCAGGGAAGTCACAGTTACTGAGACCCTCGCCTGCCAGGCACTGCATGTATTAGGTGCTCTAGACACACTTCCTTGCCTTGGCGCTGACACGTGCAGCAGCATGGCTGCACCTTGAAAACTAGCTGAAACCAGTTTGGCTCAGTAGATAGAGCGTTGGCTTGTGGACTGAAAGGTCCTGGGTTCGATTCCGGTCAAGGGCATGTACACTGTTACGGGCACATCCCCGGTAGGGGGTGTACAGGATGCAGCTGGTCGATGATTCTCTTTCATCGACATTTCTAGCTCTCTATCCCTCTCCCTTCCTCTCTGTAAAAATTCAATAAAATAAAAATAAAAAAACATCACACTAAGGGGGAAGAGCCAGGCACACAGTAACACATGTTGTATGATTCCATGTGCACAGGATGTCCATAAGAGGCAAATCTACAGAGACAAAAAATAGATTCGTGGTTGCCTAGGGCTGGGGGGCTGGAGGGGATCGGTACAGGGTTTCTTATTGGGATGATGGAAGTTTTAAAAAAATTAATTGTAGTGATGGCATCTGTGAACATACTGAAAACCACTGAACTGTACATTTTAAATGGAGGCACTTATAGGGTGTGTGAATTATATTCCAACAAAACGCGTCCAAAAACACAAACCACACAATAGGCTAGTGTGTTACTTGTGATGATACTGTTTCTCCAAGGATACCCTCCTGTCTGGTGACGGAGCACACCATCTATAAACAGGACACTAACGGCAGGGTTTCCATGGACACAGCCAGCTTAGTTCAGTTCAGTAAGATGCTAAGAACTTGACAGTGGGATACAATCGATAAATTATGATAAAACTGAGATAAACCAGAGTAGGTCTCTGCTGTCCGGAGACCTCTGTAGTAGAGGAAACAGACATCTAGACGAGCTACCACACCGAGGGAGATGAGTGGAGACAGAGGTGCCGTGGGACCTCAGAGGAGGAAGGATCCTGACTTGGGGAGAATCAGCAGAGACTTCAAAGAGGACAACAGATGCCCAAGGGGCCAACTCCGACGCTTGCTGCCACACTGGCACTCCCGAATGACAGCTGAGCAAGGGCCCATCCTGAGCTAGTCTAAGCCTGAGCGTTCAACTGTTCAACCTCTCTCCAACCCCTCTGGCTTGGCTAAGTCTCCCAGCTGTCGCCTCCACTCCCGGTCCTGCTATTGACCTCAAAGGAGACCATCACCAACATGATTCGCCCCTGGTGCGTTGCGTGCCAGGAAGATGGAAGCAGAGGAAGGGATAAGAACCCTCGTATTCAGAAGATACTCATGCATCAACGGGCCTAGAAGCAAAGCTCCCAGGAGCCCCGGGCAGCACGTAGCAACGCTGGCAGAGGATGATGAATGATGGGTGCTCTTTTTTAAATTCCTTTTCCAAACGCCTCGTCTACTATCCAGAGCATCCAAGTAAACGTAACAGGAAGAAGGCCAAGTGCTACCCAGCGCACCAAGAGTGACCACTGCGACAGGCAGAAGCCAACTGACACGGGGAGACACCGAGCCCACAGGAGCAGGGGTGTAGACGCCGGAGGGAGGGAGGCTGCGGATGCTCCCAGGCTAGCCGGCTCAGAGGATTCGGCTGGGGGCCAGGCAAGAAAAATGAAACCTCACGGCACAACTAGAAACGATCATACATCACTTCTTCATAGCGTTTCTCTCCCGAAATAGTATCAAACGAGCACCAAGCCCCAGGGACTCTATTAAAAATTCAGTACTTTCACTTACTGTGAAAACACTAATTCCACTTGCCAGAGAGAATGTGAGAGGTGAGTGAGTTGGAAAATGCAAAAATCACAAAGAGGTGGTTGGCAGGTGCTCTCCAACCTCATGCCTCACCAGGTTAAAAGTGATCTGCACAGAGGCCCTCAGGGGCCCACTGGATAGCTTGTTCTTGGAAGAACCCTGTCTGTGTACATTGTGCACAGGCACATCCAAAAGGCCTGGGGCCCTGGCCAGTGTTCCTCAGTGGCTAGAGCACTTGTGTCAAACACAAGGCCCGCGGGCCAAATCCGTCCCGCCAGGCCTTGCAATGTGGCCCGCACCTCGCTGTCATCACTGCACTCCGCTGCGTTTCCATCACAATGACAGTTTATGACTGTTCAGTAAACCATTCGGCCCGCGATTTAGGCTGGATTTTAGATTTTGGCCCCTTCTCTGATTGAGTTCGACACCCCTAGAATCGGCCTGCACACCGAAGGGTTGAGGGTTCGATTTCCGATCAAGGGCACGTACATCGGTTGCTGGTTCACTCCCCAGCCCCGGTCACGGTGTGTGCAGGAGGCAACCAACTGATGTGTCTCTCATATTTTCTTTCTTTTCTTCTCTCTCTCTCTCTCTCTCTCTCTCTCTCTCTCTCTCTCTCTCTCTCTTTCTCCTTCTCCCCTCCCTTCCCTCCCTCTCTCCCTCTCTTCTACTCTCTTTGAAAAGCAATGGAAAAAATACCCTCAGACAAGGATTTTAAAAAAATGGGCTGGAATGGGGCACACTCAGTGAGCTTGGGGTGGGGGGAGCTCCAGCTCCTTGCCTCTGGAAGGCCACCAGGCTGCCTGCCCCTTTCCTGCCCATCACTGTCCACCCTCTACCATCTCCCACATCAAATCCTGCTTTGGTTCCGACTTTAGCTGGGCATCGCATGAAAAGGCCTTCCAACCAAAACTAAATACACCAGAAACACCCCACGTCGCTCCTGAACACAGCTCTCTGATAGTTTCACCAACTAGAACACCTTCCGGTGGATACCTCTAGGTCAAGCAAACCAGCAGGACAAAGGAAACCAGAGGATTGAAACCAAAACAAAGACGGGAAGGAAGACTCCTTCAAACACATGTCCCTCCTGATCTTCAGAAGTGTAAGGTCAAAGTAAACAACATGGAAAAGAGATCCCTTCGAGAACAACAAGGTCAGCGGGAGATAGAAACCGCATCAATGATTTACTAAGAGGCAAGGTCCACAGGGCACGGTGGAAAGAGCTCTGGGCCCGGAGTCAGAAGGCCTGGTTTGGGTCTAAGTCCGGCATTTCCTGTGTGTGGTGATAACAGCTGGTGGCTACCATCTGGTGAGCATGACTGTGCACCTGGTTCGTACTCACTCACTCCACCACCACACACACCCAGTGGCGGGCGCTCTTTCACATGCTGATTTACAGGAACAACACCCGCAGAGTGACTAAGAGACCCACTCAAGGTCACCTAGTAACTGGCGAAACTACGAACTTGAACATTGACTTAAAATCTGTAAGTCTTGGCTCTTTTCTCTGTAAAAGGAAGAAAATACGTGTCCTGATTATCTTATAGAAATGTAGGTTATGAGAGAATATATGTAAGGATGCTTTGTAAACTAGGATATCCTGCAAGTGTCAATTTTTCTTTTGCTGCACTTTCACTTATTTGTGTGCTATGTACAATTAAGTTGGGTTTTGTATATGTCACATTACAAAATTGGACTTCAAGTGAATGACATACACTTTCTACTTTGCATTTGCAAGCATTTGGTGAGTAAAGGGCAGTCACCTAGAGACTAAAGAAAAACAAAGTTTTTTGAATGGCAGGCTGAATATTACTGTAAACAAAGCGACTGAACATGTGCTCTCATATATCATTAGCCATTCCCAGCAGGAGAGAGAATGATCAGAGGTGGTATTAGTTGCCTACGTGAATACATTTCTTTAAATAAAAGCCTATTCCACCTATAAATCAAGTTCCTCAAACTGTCACTATGATGGAAGGTTCTCCTATTAGTTTGCAAGGTATGAAAAAATCTTGCCCCAAAATTCATAAACTCCCTCCCATGGAGCCAGAGAGCGATAACAGGATTATAAAACTCCCCACGTTTCAGGAGTGTGACCTGTTCCCCAATGCCCGGTGGGTCTTTGGGGAGTGGGGGGTGGGTGGGTAGGAGGGCTTTAGAGACATGGTGAGCGACAAGAGGCCCTCAACTCAGAGCCAGTCTGAAGGGGGCAGTGTGGGCGCTGGGGGCAGCAGGAGGAACTCGGCACCGACGCCATCACGACCCTGGGCCGCAGGCAGAATAGATGGCAGAAGACTGCTCGCCTTGGACAAGCCTGGACCGACCACGGCACTGCCCTGGGGTAAAGAGGAGGTATGGGGGACTCTAAATTAGAAAAATTCCATTTTACTCAGCCATGTTTTTGAAGGGAAAATTTAATTAAAAGGTCTTTTTCTCTTAATACCTGGGAACACATTGAGTAAAACAACCTTCAAAATGCTCTTGGCTACCTTTCAAAAACAAAGCGTCGAGAGCACTTACACACATAATTTCGCGTGTTATAAGTTTTATATGGATCCCTAGTACAAATAACAATCACCATGACCTTCACCAACACCAGATCCTGGCAAGGCCCTTTGCTAATAAATACTGCACACCTGTTAGCTCTCCTTCCCCTCCTCACAGTAATTCTATAAGGTAAATACAGTTGTCATTGTTGCCATTTTACTACTATAGATGGGATACCAAAATTCCAAGTGTTAAGGGACAGAGATTAAACTCTAAAAATTAAACTCAGGTTTAACATCTAGGTCAGCTTCCAAAGCTCTTATTCTTTAGCCATTAACTTACACTGTCTCACCTAAAAACACTAAGGTAAATTTTCACTATCACCAGAGAATAAGGACTTGCCAATTTATTATTTACTGTCACTTGGTAACAGTGACCATTTAACTATCACAAGAGTGACAGCAGCCCTAACCGGTTTGGCTCAGTGGATAGAGCGTCGGCCTGTGGACTCAAGGGTCCCAGGTTTGATTTTGTTCAAGGGCATGTACCTTGGTTGCAGGCACATCCCAAGTAGGGGATGTACAGGAGGCAGCTGATTGATGTTTATCTCTCATTT